CATAAACACATTTCATTACACCAAATACACAAAATAATGTTCTTTTTAGCAGCATCATATGACCCCTTTAATGTATATTATTTTAGATAAAAAAACATTCATAAAAGTGCAGTTACATTCCAGTGAATGCATTTTGAATAGTGAAAGTGACGTGACATGTGGCCCAGTATGGTTACCCATACTAGGAATTAGTGCTCTGCATTTAACCCATCCTAAGTGCACACACACAGCAGTGAACACACACCCGGAGCAATGGGCAGCCCTTATGCTGCGGCGCCCGGGGAGCAGTTGGGGGTTTGGTGCCTTGCTCAAGGGCACCTCACGACTTCCCCAAGACTTCCCCAAGACTTAGATGTTTTGATACACAAATATGAAATTGTGTTTATGTTCTTCCGGTTTCATTTTCAAAACCGTCGTTTCATAATCAAGTCGGAGCGAATGTTAATATACCGTAACACTATTAAATTGAAGTCTTTAGCGGCGTACACATTGTACATTCTTATTGGTGGACGCAAAGAGTGACAGTCCGTTCCTCCAATCATCGATCTCAAGAGAGGCGGGACTTCCGCTGACAAAAGATGCAATGAGCGGAAACCGCTGCAGAAACCAACCGCCTTTTCCTCGCGTACTGTATCTGGAGCAGGTCTCGCTGTCTGTCGGCCTGAAAAACGGACCGCGGACGAACACAAACGAGCAGAACGAGGAGCGGTGCACAGAGGGACGACAAGATGCCGCACAACTTCCGGCCCGGGGATATTGTCTTTGCTAAAATGAAGGGCTATCCCCACTGGCCGGCCCGGGTGAGAGCACACACCCCCACCAGCTTCACCTCAGCGCCTAGCCATTTACGCATCATATGTATATATATATAGTTTTTGCAAACAAACTCGAATTATATATTACTTCAGAGTCTAAACATCTTAATTATGTGTTTATTTCATATTATTACCCTAGTAATGAATGTATGAAGCTAGCTGGCTTGCTAACTTGTTTGCTGGAGCTGTAGCAAAGGTCGCGTGTCCGCAAAGTCTTGTTTATTTTTGTATTTTATACATTAGGAATCGTCTTTAGATGCATAATGAGGTAAAATCTGTATAGATACTACATTTAGGCTTGGTGCTTTTATATTCCTTTTGTCTAATAACATGTTAAATGCAATGGGGGGGTTTGAGTTGTCATGTTTGCACATGGGGATACTTTATTGCACGTGACTTACTCGGTGCAAAGTAGAAAACTCATTTATTAAGTAACCTTCAAATTTCCACTACTGAAGGTGTGAAGAACGTGTGATAACCCTATTTTAATATGTCTCCTCCAGATTGAAGATGTTGCAGAAGGGGCTGTCAAACCTCCGCCTAATAAAATCCCCATTTTTTTCTTTGGGACTCATGAAACGTACGTATTCCTGGATTTGAAGGAGCGCCAGGTTATTAATGTTGATAAACGGATGCATATTATTTGTTATGAGCTGTGTGCATTACCTTACTGTTTTCTCAGTGTTTTTAAAAGTATGGTTTGGCCTTGCTTGTCTGAACTGTTATGGAGTAACAGGTGGCACTAGAAGAACTTTTTTAGACCAAATTTGTTTTCCCTTTTTCAATCTGAGAACTTTGTAGACACCTTCATATATTAAAGTCGGCATGAAATGAAAAACCACCCAATGTATTGTCTAAATGCATGTTGCAGATCTTATCATAAACACTTCATCCGTACAGTTTCATTTGGTAAAAATGAGTTTTAACCTCATGATGTTTAATTAAAATGCCATAAAACAAGTGTAATTTTTAAATCCAATCAACAACAATGCATAGAACCAAATTTACACCCTACATTTTTTTTTTATTATCTGTTGTACTCGTATGTAGGTCACAATACAGAAGAACAGAGCTGTTGCTACTTCTGTTTCATCCCAACTTTATAATACTGATTTTAACTTTCCTTTCAGAGCATTCCTTGCACCCAAGGACCTTTTTGCATATGAAAAGTACCAAGACCAATATGGGAAGCCCAACAAAAGGAAAGGGTTCAATGAAGGCTTGTGGGAAATCCAAAACAACCCTCATGCCTCCTATAGCACACCTGCAGTAAGACTTCATTTCTCTGTCTGTAATCATCTGTTGTTTCATGACAGCAAATGCTGATTTGTTACATCTTCCCTGTATTTGTTTAGCCTGCATCATCATCGGACAGCGAGGACAACCAACCTGCGGCAGGAAGTGATGCGGAAGATGACAAGGAAGCAGTGGTGCCGAGGAAAGCTGAAACGGGAAGTGATGGCTCTGACTCTGGAAGTGAGGATCAAAGGAAGACGGCAGTGAAGCGGAAAGCTCCTGCTGCAAAGGTATCTAAACATGATTGATTGTATATCCTCACAGTCATCTCATCTGTCATTTTTCTCTCTTCTCTTGCAGTATTATGCATTATACTTTCAGGTGCTCTGAATTTCTCTTTTCAAAGCTCTTAATGTCAGTTTTAGTTAGTTACAAATTTACTAGTGTTAAACAGAAGAGTGTTAGTGGTTGTAGAGTAATCAGTGTAGTGCAAGTAGTTTTTATTTAAGCAGTAGAGTCATTCTATGTTATGAATGTATTCATAGATATGCCTAAAGTATATGTTTTTGTTTTTTGTTTACGTTCTGTTGTACACATACGCTATATGTTCATGTTAAAAATGAACTATACTTTGGGCTTAAAGGACTTAGTTTGGCACAGTGTTCAATGGAGTGCCTGCAACCCCTTTATACTTGGCGTAAAGGGCCATTCACACCAAGGATGATAACATTAAAGGGTTAGTTCACCCAAAAATGAAAATTCTGTCATTCATTACTCACCCTCGTGTCGTTCCAAACCAGTAAGACCTTCGTTCATCTTCGGAACACAATTTAAGATATTTTTGATGAAATCCGAGAGCTTTCTGACTCTGCATAGACAGCAATGCATCTGACACGTTTAAGGCCCAGAAAAGTAGTAAGGACATCATTAAAATAGTCCATGTGACATCAGTGGTTCAGCCGTAATTTTATGAAGTTACGAGAACACTTTTTGTGCGCTAAGAAAACAAAAATACAAACTTTATTCAACAATTGCTTCTCATCCGTGTCAGTCTTCAATGTGTGTTCAAGAGAGAACCACGACGCATGCGTGTGTACTATACCTTAAACTAAATAGTTATAGATTCTAAATCTATAGAAGGGAAGTTGACACCACAATTAAATTATTACAACATAGAGCAGTGTTTCTCAACCCTGGTCCTGAGCGCCCCCCAACACTGCACATTTTGTATGTCTCCCTTATCTGACACACCCATTTCAGGTCCTGGAGTTTCTTTTAATGAGCAAATGAGTTGAATCAGGTGTGTTTGATTAGGGGGAGACACAAAATGTGCAGTGCTGGGGGGCGCCCAGGACCAGGGTTGAGAAACACTGACATAGAGGAACGATATCATGGGAATCACTTTGATCGATTTTTCCAGCTGATCAATGCTAAAAACATTGACAGCCAATCAGAATCCACTTTAAAGAACTTGAGCATTCAAAGTGGCTGACGACAAAACTGCAGTGTGCTTATAATAATAATAAAAAAACATATCGTCCATTGGTGTGGACACTAATATGGATTTAGTTGTAGGTGTGAACGGGCCTTACAGGATTAGTTCACTACAGAATTAATATTTCCTGATAATTTACTCACCCCCATGTCATCAAAGATGTTCATGTCTGTATTTCTTTCCATTCAAAAAGAAATTAAGGTTTTTGAAGGAAACGTTCCAGGATTTTTCTCCATATAGCTAGTGGGCTTCAATGGGGATCAGTGGGTTGAAGGTCCAAACTGCAGTTTCAATACAGCTTCAAAGGGCTCTACAAGATCCCAGCCAAGGAATAAGGGTCTTATCTGGTGAAACGATCGGTCATTTTCTGAAAAAAGATAATTTCTATACTTTTTAACCACAAATGCTTGTCTTGCACTAGCTCTGCGATGTGAGTCTGCAACTTCATGCATTACGCAATCACGTTGGAAAGGTCACGTGCGGTTAGTGTACTCCGGTTCAAAAAGGTAGGTTAGGGCGAAAAACTAAATTTTCTCCTCCAACTTCAAAATTGTCTGATTTCGTTGTTTTAGCTCTTTTTTTTGTAAAGGGAGTTTGACTTTCTTTGCACATTCACTTTGTAAACACTGGGTCGGTACTAGGGCTGAACGATTTTGGAAAAGACTCCTTTTTAATGGTTAAATTAAATTTTATTAATCAAAAAAAATGTCTAATTAATTAAAATCATGGAACTTAAACAATTTAACATCAATTTATCAAAAGCTTAACAAAAATTACATGTTTAGGGCCCTATGAAATTTTTTCTTTTTTCCAACCTTGTTTTAGTGTTACCAAATTCTGTGTTTTAACATGTCTAATTATTTGAAAACATAAAAACAAGTTTCATTTATTCTTACAATAGCCTTATGATTTTTTCCTCAGAAATTCTGTGTTGAGTATTTACATTTGTTTAAGGCATAAAACAGTAATTTAATCTATCTTTTAATTAATGAAAATTAAAAATTTTATTTTTGGAAAATAAAGGGGATTTAATATTACAATTAAAACATTGAAGAAATATTGTATGATTATTCCTTAAAAATAAGGTTTTAAT